CCCCCCGGATGTATAAATGGGTGCTGGCGAATATAATTCAGCGGTAAACGGCTACTAGCGACGTACGGCGACTAGCATGTGATCTTGGACAAGAGATAATCAAGATAAGAGAGTGAATCCCCCATATAGGTCTTGTACATAAGGTCGCGCGAAGCGTGGACAGCCCGAGCGATTTTCTCGAAACTACCAGAGACGAAATGGCGGGAAATGCAAACAATAATTTTATACGTTTTGATTTTCAAAAGACGTTTCATAGCACAGATGTTTCTGCACCCTCAGCCGTCTTTACGTTCGGCTGGGCTTTCGTTTGCTTTGTCAGTGCTCGTTTGGCTGTTCATTGTTTTGTCGTTCATTCGGTTTTAGGAAGTTTAACAAGCAAACCAAAACGGCAACAAGCCTGGCCCTCTCTTGAATCAGATTTTGTCAGAATTTAGTTATTCTTCAGGCCTGGTTTCCTTTGTGACGCAAATCCTTGGAAGAATTCATGACCAACTAATAATTTTGCAGTTCTCTAAAACTCTTAAATAGCAAACAAGGCAAAAGTAGCTTGAAAATTTTATTATAAATTTAAAAGGTTATAGCTACATAAAAGTGAATCAATACAATAAATTAAAGTACAAATGAAGTATGAGTTTAACGCTTGCTGTAATATTCGCTTTCTGTAACACAACTACATCTTCTTTAACTCTATGATGTCTGACAACTTAACTTCAAGTGAACCAAATAAAGGTTACTAAGTTATTCAATCCTTTTTTAGTTTCAATACATCTTAATACAATTTAACTATAATGGTAATTGTTGCTTCTAAATCTTGTTTCAATAAAGAATCAGTAAGAAGTACTGTTTTACAAACAGTAAAAGGCATAATAATTTACGTTCGTAAATACGAGAAATGAGTTTGTCGACGTTGTTCTTTCGTACTCGAAAATAAATGCTTACACGTTGAAATTCTTAGTTTCTTAGTCAATTAAAAATCCCGAATTGGTAATAATTTCTATTTAAATTGTATAAACATTTCCTTCTACTGTTTGTTGCTAACTCGCCTAATATGCTTTGTTTTAATCCTTCTCTTAAACTGAAGCGTTATAAAATATCTACAATATTAATGTGAACCTTATATGAACTTTACAAGTCGAAACGCCCGTGCGTTTTACTTTCTGCCATCTTGGTTTTCGTAAATCATCCGGGACACCTGGCTTCTGTTCTCAGCAAAACTTGTGGCAGATCATTTCCCCGCCAAGACAGAAACAGAAATAGCAGCGGTCGGAGTAACTATCCAAAGGCTGTTGGGGAAAGAGAAAAGATTGTTTTGTCAGTGTGAATTGAATTGGACTAAAATAGCGAGTAAAACAAACTGCAACGCTTTGAAAAGAAGTGCGATGACTTTCTTGATGTCGTTCTTTATCTCCGCAGTACCACAATCAAGGGATTTATTGACTTCATAAGCCACCCTCTCGGATAAATTACCGTAAACTTCCGAAAGTAATGGCCCTAATTACTGTTGGAATTAGCAGCATTTGGCGCTCGTTACTTTCGTGGGGTCTGGAGTTTCTTATTTTGGGCAGAAAAAAAGCATGACATTACGTTGATACAACTGAGCTGGTTCCTTTTAGGAAATACAAGATAAATTCGTAAAAACAGTTCTTGAAACATGAAATACAGTTCTTCATTCCAGATTAAATCTATGTTGCTACCACATGGGCGGGTTCTTCATGACTAGACCGTGTTCTCAGTGGTCAGCACGAAAGCTAGTAAGATACCGTAAACTGTTTCTACTTCATGACGCNGGGGGGGGGGGTCAGTACTTTCGAAAGTTTAAGATAATCGCCTTGATACTTGCATCTTTTCAGCATGATAAACATGCATTTTTCTAGTTTTCTTCTTCAGTCAAGACATGCGGGCTTTCGAAGAACTTTCACCTGATCATATTTTCCCAAGGGCTAGTTTTACGCTAGTCTCCTCCTCAGCCGTTTTCTGAGATGTCACGCAACGCTTCTACCCATTTGGGGGAGCGTTGCGTTGCGTGACAGTCCCAAATAACGGCTGCGGATGAGAATACATGTAGTTTTATTCCAGTAGAATGAACCTGCCTACCTTGTATTCCTTTCCTTTGTAAAAACAGTTGCACCTAGCAGAGTCGATACATTTTCCGTTCTTATCCAACACTTGTCCTTTCGGGCAGAAACAGCCTTCGGTGCACGATTGACACTTGAATCCTTGTCTGGAACAAGTCGAGTCGCAACTACAACTTTTGTAAACCTTTCCTGTCCCGTCACATTGGTCCTCTGGCGGCACAATGGCACGAAAAATGTACAATCAGTTTAATAAAAAACGATGTGACGTAACAGAGTTCCTGCCCCAAATATACGCTTCATTCCCAAGGTAATACTTCTCAAGTTATTTTTAGACATGGTACACAGTTCTCGCGCGGTAATGTTAAAAAGCAAGTTGCGAAGATGTTTTCAGACTAAAGTTCGAAATCAATGTTATGGTGAAATTTACAGGGGCGGATCCAGGATTTTTCTCAGGAGGGGTGCATCACTAAGAATGGCGTAACTGGCTGGTGAGGTAAACAAATTTTAAAAGCAAATACGGATAGGAAGGCTTCATCTCAGGAGTGGGAGGGGGGTGGGGGAGAGGGCTGCTCTGGGCTTAAGGCTCATTTCTCGTTGTCTAAATCTGGCCTATATCATATCCATCTGTTTTTGGCTACCTTTGCCTGCCTTGCACTTTCGTTAGATTTGAAGGCAACTGTGCGCATCGCAAAAGACAGACAGCATTACGATAACGTTGCATTTATATTCAGTTTAAAAGAGTTCAACACGCAAAGCCGCAATCAGTAATTAAATTCTTCTAACTTGTCCCCATAAAGCTGTTTGGGGGAATCAGTTACAATATCAAGACAACTACATTAGGTGTGATGAGTTCGTTAACGAACTGGTTGTAAACGAACAGTTTTCAGAAACGATGACGGCGCTAGGAGGAAAATGACCACACACAAGGAAGAAAGTAGGGAGTTCAAGCCCCCGTCCCCAAGTATCCGAGTATTTTTGAATCCGCAACTTTTCTTTCCAGATACGGCTTCCGTCCTCACGCATCCGGCGAATTCGGCAGCGAATCCGGATATTTTTGCTACGTGTGGACAGGCAAATTCGATTTGAATACGTTACGTGTGGACAGGGAAATTTTTGAATACGGAAAGAAAAAGTCGCGGATTCAAAAATATCCGGATTCGTGTGGACGGGGCCTAAGAAGGCTACGTACGACGGCAACGGCACCGTTGCTAAACAAAAGGTTTTATGTACGGAAAAATGACTGTGTACGTGCGTTTTAAATCATTGTACATTTCTTTGCCGTCCTCTGCAAAACAACAACGTGAAATGACCAAATTCTGCGTAGCTCTCATGCGTTGCGGCAGGAGCAAAGTCGATGAGCAAAGAACGTGAACCACGACGGCTAATTTTCTTAGTTTTTACGTGAAATTTATCGCTGTGTCCCAGATTCAGTTTTGTGATAGTTTTGACAGTGATAAACAAAGTAAATGACTTCAGAGCATCGCGAGATTAGTAGACAAAATATCAAATCATATTTTAATCGACGATGTCCTTGGCGTCGCCGTCGTCGTTATTTAAGCTCCCTGGTAAGTTAAGCCAAAAAATTAAAACAAAAGCATGATAGCTAACAAAGAAAGGCCAGTATTCAATGAAACTTTTACCTTTGCAAATCGGGCAGCACTGTCCTTTAAGAGTAATCACATCCCCTGACTTCCCTTTACAATCAGGGTTTGGACAGGAGGGTGGTGAGCAGGTAATGTTACCCTCCTAAAACAAGCAAAGATAGACATACCCGGTAAGTAGTCGAGCCAATGTGAAGCTAAAGAGCTTTAGTCTGTTAACAGGCCCCTTTGGGCGACAAATAATCGGCGACCGGAACGAGTTGAGTGCGGTCTTGGACGGAAGATCTCGCTACGAGCTCTTCCTGTCCAGACTGCGTTTGACTTCATATTCAGCCAATAGTCTGCCAGGGTAATGTTGATAATACTGTACAAGTTTTCCTTTTCAACGCAAATGTGCAACCATTCAAATGAATGCTAATGAACAGTACTGTTACGCAAAGCTATTTATTATACTATACAAGGTGATTTTAATTTTCACGTCGGTGGGTGAAAGCCTACTTTGTGACCAATCAGTACTAATGCGCAGTAATTTTACTCGGTTCTATCCGAACATTTAAGTTTCAACCTCATAAAATCCATGCCTAGCGTTTATCTATTCTGATATTGAGCAGAATTCTGATACTGTGTGCACCGTTTCTTTTTCAATTATTTTACAAAATGAAATTTGACTTGATTTCAATTTTAAACTTGGGCGTCCTTATAAGTGTAAATGAAACCTACCGAACACTTGCAGGTCTGGCAGCTATCGTTTCCTGATTTCCATGTTTCGCCGTGCAGATAGCTTCGACCGTTGTCTTTGCAAACTTGACAGATGTGAGTGCAAATCACTTGTCCCCACTGTCAACAAGAAAACAAAGTGAGAACGGATTTAAACTAGCAAAATAATGCTCATTTTAATACACTCCTGAGCGAAGAAATTAAAGCGTCTTGCCAAAGAACAAACACAATTATCCCGACCAAAACTGTATTGTTTATGGGTGTCAATCTAAAACGCATTCATTATAAATGATAGTAGAAAAACGAGACAGAGTCGGCACATTCAAGGGTATACTTATATTTATAACCCACCCATTAATCTTGGTGCGATTTTATTGGTTACTTTACGTCACGTGGTGAAAACTCACGGGACAGTTATCACGCAATAACCCCCTCCTGCGTCGATATTTGTCCTCCGATTGCTTCCGTCGAAAAGAAACACAGTCAGCACAAGAGTTTCAAATATTCCTTTCTCTTATTTTACATGGAAGGAAACTAAACTCGTTTAGTTGAGTCTAGCGATAGTGATATTAAATAGCTGGTCGCAAATGCTGTTCCAGAAAGTACATCAAGTTTTTGAGTTTTTGATCTAAGGGGCATTACGAGAGTTAATTTCTCATGACAGCTTGTCAAGTTTTGGTCCAATCACAGTGGAAATAAAGTTAGTTAAACCAACCAAATGTACTTGCTTGCTTACGTCAATCACGCGCATTCGCCATCAGATCACCACTGGCTTTTTACCATGTTTACGAGTGGTTTAATTGTGATATGAAAGTTAATGGGAGGGTTATAAAATAAATAAACCCCTTTCTGGCTCGATGGTATCTCGGTTGATAATGTCCTTGTCTGAGAGATTGTCCTCAAATTTTCACATTTGCTCTCGAAGCTTCGCTTCTCGGCCAAATATTCTATTTTCGGACAATTTCTCAGCCACGTACATTATCAGCCGATATTCCATCCGCCTGAAGAGGTTTATTGACTAAATGCTGCCCTCCTCCAGTGATCCGGCAAATTTTCAGCGAGTTTGTAACACATGAAATTGTTATACACGTAATTGTTTTCTTTGGGAGAAACTTTAAGACAAACCATCTGTTAAAAAGCCAGAGGAAGAAAGGTTATTGTTTACAGCCGATATAAATTAACCGAAGGCTACGCTTTGTCCACAATTAATTGAGCCTTGCTCTTGGAGGTAGTTGAGGAAGTTTGTTTATAAATTTTGACCTTCCGACTTGTCCTTAGCCAATCCGAAATCACTCATTCTTTGCAAGTATAGGAAAAGTTCTCACTGCTTGTTCCGGCTTTGATTGACAAACAAGTGTCGTTGGAATCCGCTCGTAAACAACAGCCAAAACAAACCGCAAAGTGGTATTGTGCTCAATTCACAGCTTTAGCTACATTACTTTAGCTTTGTTAATTGCGCCATCCTGTACACTTAATGCGCATGCTCACCTTACACTGACACAAGGTACACTTGTCCTTTGTCCAGCGGTTTCCGTCTTCGTACCTGAACCCGTCCATGACGCAATCCTTTGTCCCCACGACATCTGAACATTCACACTACAGTGGAAGGGACAGTTCAAGTTCACTGATCAGAACATTTACCAGGTAAATCAAGAACTCAACAATTAAAGAACTGTTCACGTCCCTCTAGTAAGTAAGCAAAACCTTTTTTTAAACACGATAAAGATTTCAGCTTTGCAGCTCATGGGGTCGTGTAAAAATAGATAAGTGAAAAAAATGGATGAGGCGAAAGCATGAGACACAACGAAAACTGATAAAGGACAGGTGCTTTAATTTCTACGTTGGCGTTTTATAATAGCTTTTGTCGCAGTCATCAGCGGTTTGACATACAAACGAGGCGAGAGGCAGGGTCACTTTTCTGCTTTGTATTGTCCTTTCGCCTCTTTCGCATGTCTTTTCCAACTAAACAGTATTTGACCGCAGGCGCACCTTCAATAACAGCTGTTTTCCTTCGAGGTCTCAGTGGCGATAAACATTGAATTCAGTTCTAACAAGAGAAGATCAAGGCAATTCACCTTGATCTTCTCTTGGTTTAAAATTAAGAATCATTGTTTTCTCAAAAGAAAACAGGTGCTGAGATTGTTAAAATCAGGAAAAGAACACATCGGCATGGCAGGTTGAGGATATAGCTAGTATGAAGGAGTGTATCGGTTAGTAAGCTGTGTTTTTCATTCACCATTGCCTCACCTTTGCTGTTGTTGGACAATCGCGTAAAGTATTTCCCAAAATAAACTTAACGTCTTGAAGATCCCCCTACAAACAGTTGTAAAGAGCTGTCATTGTTCACAATCCAAAGATAGCAACAAACCCATTTCGTTAAATTTCAGACCCACTGAACCCAAAAGAAGAAGAAATAAAGTGGTTGACGTCACTGAAACGTTGCCATTGGTTAGTTGTTCCGACAGACATTAACACTTAGTTGGGTTTATAACCATTCCCCTTTATTAACCATACTCAGGAGAAAGTAAATTTAAAGAATTAATGAGAAAAGTTAGACAAATAAGGTCTAAACTTATTTGCATAAGTACAGTATCTTTATGAATGCACAGTATCTTTTGGTTATTTCTGAATAAATAACGATTAAAATATTGATACGAATTAACAGATCACTCATATATTTTACGGGCGAGAAAATAACGTAACTGTACGCATTAGGCTTAAATTAATGACAAATTTACCTGTTCTTAGCTAATCACAATGAAATAATTTTCTCAGTCATATAATAAATGGGACAAACATCCTGCAAACATTAACTTCTTTTGGGGTGAGTAAACTTGAAAAAAAGAGTAAATGAAGAAAGCTCCTTCGAACTTTTCTTGGGTCCCGTTCAAACTACGCCGGAGGAACTTGAAAACGCAGTTTCATTTCTACCGTTACAGGTAGGACGTACCGTCCACACTAATCCGTCACAAAAACGAAGCTTTTCGAAAACGCTCTTCAAACTGGAGGAATTTGTAAACGCCGGCTTTGCGTTTTACTGTGGACGGAAAACATTTCGAAAACGAAGCTTTTCGTTTACGTCGACAATATGATAATTATGATAATTATGCACGTGTTTTACTCAAACACAAATGCAAAATGACCGGTGATTGTCGCGTTTTTAAATTCCTCCGGCGTAGTGTGGACGGAAAACAGTTGATGCGTTTTCAGAGTGAAACCTCCGTTTTCAAATTCCTCCAGCGTAGTGTGGACGAGGTGTCACTCATCTTACTCGTTGTTTATGTAAAAACGTTAGTTTTCTGTATACTAGCTTACCTTAAACTTACTGGTGATAACACCAGTATTTTCCAAATACACTTCGAAGATCTGAGCAAGTCGAAGCTGGGCGTTTTGAGGATAGGCAACAATCTGCTGCTTGAATGGATGCACGCTGACCATTTCGTCATCTACGAATATCCTCAGCATCGACTGACTGTCCTGTACTCGGACCGCTACCTTGTGCCATTTTGTGAAGTCCAAAGATGTTTTACTGGAACCTTTGAATGGCGCTAACCGCCCGCCTGGGACTTGAAGTGAGACAGTGATATCAAGACCTTTTCCTCGACTCTTGCCACTGAAATACCAAAAATGAAAAAAGTTTTAGATTAGAAATAACGACTTCCTTATTAATTTGGATTCTCTACATTTTCATCACCTCTCTATGTGACAATGTATTGGTTATGTAAAGAGAAAACATATGTTTATCACTCAAAAGAAACTGATATAATTTCTTTCTGTCTTGTGGGAAAATTTTCTGTCGAATTTGTATTAAAAATCTAAAAATTATTTTAAAAAGAAAACATGGCCAAGCAAGGAAAGAAAAAGGGTAGAAAAAAATCCATTACAAAAAGTTAAAAAGAGGGTGAAAATAGTCTTGCATGTGATAGCCTACCAAAACACGAAAGCCCTCTCCACTCGCCTCGCTTGTCTCGCGTGTCTCTCTCGCGGCTTCGTCGCTCGCGTCGCCGGCCAAAACACGAGAACCTGCTCGCAGGCTATGCATATGCGTGAGGAAATGACAGATTTTTCTGTCTTATACCAAATGAGCTTAGAATGTATCGAACGGAAATACTAATCTATCTTGAGGTTGAAATTACACAAACGTCACAAATTTTAAAGTTAACACAAAACTCACGAGACGACAAACTTGAAATACAGATCATGTCCGCCTTGTGAAGAAATAGAAACAATAGGGTTGTCGTATCTTCTGAGAAGATCGAGCTTGACGTAGGCCGAGACGATGAAATCATGGCTGTTGTGGATCATTTTATCGGCCTGTTCAAACGCCTGCTGACTTGCTATGAGATCAGTCGTAGACGTGGTAAATTGATATGCGGCACTTTGGTCGTTTTGTCCTGTGGTTTTTGTGACCCCGGCGAATGCTTTGTCACCAAGCCCAACTGCTTTGAAAAGATCGACTTCTTTTGCCAGATCTGAAAAGAATTAAATAACACGTTTGAAAGCACGCAAACAGACAAAAAGAAGTGGAAAGTATCAATAAAAATAGGTGCGACATTCTAGAAAGCTTTCAAGAATGACCCAGTATCAGCGGCTAGCGCTGTCGATGTTTCAGTCCGTTTCAACGTTGAATCGAAACGTAAGTTGAAAGAAGAGTCACAAACGTTTTTATGCATGTGCCTTTCAACTTGTCCTCTAAACAATTACTAGGTAGACACGACCACTAAAACTCAATGATTTTTATCTGAAGTATAAATAGCTGTCGTTTAATTTATTTAGTTTGAACTAACATCTTTCAAATAAACAATGAAAGCATATCCATGGAAGTAAACAGCTTAAGCAAAGCAACGATGCTAAAGATACGATTCAAATCGAAGCTGAATTTTGCTAAAAAATATTAGGAGGATGTACCATTGGCCGACATAACTATCAGCAACGGACCAAGATATGATATGACCATACAGAATTATTGACCTCTCGCAACTGATTCAAATACTGTAATTTATAAACCTTCTCTCGATTGTTGCCTCGCCAAAACGTGCTAACAGGCTCCTAAAACGGTTTTCTTTACATTATTCCAAGGGTAAGTAGGGCTGAAACAGTTGTCCTAGAATACTACAGGATTGCTGAAAGTTGTGTTAACTTCGCATAGCCTGTAGCATAGCTTTTCTATCAAATATTTGAAGGTATTCCACACTTTTTGTCCCGTGTCATAATAACACAGTGTTACGAGAAAGATATTCAATCATGTACTATTAAATAATATTGTGCTTAGCTTGGAACTAAGAAATCCAGTGAAGACTTAATTTTGGGGCTGGGAAAAACGAATGTATAGACCATCTTCGTTACCTCCAAATCAAAGATATGATTTCGGTCATCCGACCCGCTAATATTACGCCTCTAAGTCTTGTTAAGATGACTACACAAACAAGCAGTCAATGACTAGCTTTACCTTCATTTGATGAGATTCCCTTCGTAAGGAAAAACACTAGAATAACTGCAAAAATCCAGTCACAGATTCGACCCATCGCTGCGTCTACGTCTAATATTGAACAATGGTGTCCTCGAGAAATTATCTGATATGCGTTTGGTGACCTCTCGTGTCTGTCTGATGAGTCAATAAGCTGGCTGTATTTATTTAATAAGCAACTTGAGAAACAATATTGGGGAGGGGCGAGGAATGATAACTTTTGTGACGCAAGTCCGTGAAACAATACATGTCGCCGAAGTCAGGAAACATGGAGACGACGTAATCACCAGTTTTCGGAAAGATTTGGACACGTGTACAACAAAAGGAACAACCACAAATCAGCAGAGCAAGCAAACGTGCTTTAAATGAAAACAGAAGACTTCATCATGGAAGAACGTGTGAAAATGACATTTCTTGAAGCTTTCATCACAGGAAATAGCAAACGTTCTAGAACAACCTAGTCTTTACAAATTCCCAAGAGAAGTTTAATAACATTTTCTGAGTTTTACACTTACCCACGTCACAAGCTTACCCGCTGGGGTATCTGTGATGATATAATTGTGCAATAAATAAAACGTCATTGGACCTGCTAAATCCTCTACAGTAGCCGCTCCCAAATACTTTTTTCCCACTTTCGTGACGAGATTATTTCCCAACCGGAAGTGAGAGGTACGAATCAATTCGATGTCATTTGTTTTGCTAGGGAGTGGCGCAAAATCAATATAATGATGTGGGGTTGCTGAAACTATGTGCCGGAAACAGAATCCCATGTTTTTGAGCAAAAACCCAAGAAAAGCCCGCGAAGAAAATGTTCGCGCGGAAACCGTCGTGAAGGACTTCTTAGTCGATTCATTTACAGAAAAGATGCCTGTTTCTTCTTTTTATGCACCGAGGTGTCGGCCATCACGGTCAGGCCCGCCGGTGCTGGTTTATTCGTAATAATGCTCAAATGCAACTTGAAAATTTAACGCTCTGGACTGTAGGAAGGTCCCGAATGTGTCAGGGCATTCTGGGCGATGACTAATAGATGTTTAGATAAAAACCGTAGTACCTAGCTTAGCCTGCGTAGCTAGCAGGCATTAAACAGGGGAGGGGGTGGCAAAGCGTGATGGAGGGAGGGGGACTGTGACTAACACTTTTTGTCATAGTGTGTCTCGAAATAGCGCCTATCGCGCTACAAGTAGATGTATTTGATACACAAATAAAGTCAAATAGAGTTTGTTACTTGCCTGCTTGCTTGCTTCCTTCGGCCTCATCAACTATCTCTTCATAGAAATCTCGAGCTCGTAATCTAATTGTTAAATAGAAACACGAATGGAAGTTTGGGAGAACGAGAAATGCTCAGTGGCAACACGAGCCGTCAGGCGAATGTTTCTACAGTCTTTTCGAGTTCTCCCAAACTTCCACGAGTGTTTGTAATTACCAAATTGACGTCAGTTTTTTACGCGTCTGTCCTAGCTGCTATTGATCATGAATTTCTTCATAGTAGTCTGCGGATCCACAGCAACTTTGACAATTTTATGACGAAATTCGTTGTCAATCACACAGGACAGACGCATGAAAACCTGACGTCAATTTGTTTTTTACAATAAATTATTACATAAAACCTAAAATAATGTGTCTGTCCGCTTATTGACAATGAAAATTAACCAATGAGCGAGCGAGAATTTCTGCAGTTATTGTAAAAAAACTCAATGGAAACACGGAGAACATGTTTTTTTAGAAAATTCCGCTACGAAAACAAAGAAAACAACCCGTTTACTCAAAATGTGAAATGTCTTTGCTCGCTCAATCATCACGCCAACAACTTGTGATAGTTCTGTGTTTCTATCGCGTTTTAGTATAAATCTACTAGCATTCTATCACGAAAGCCGTTCTCTGATTGGCTACGCTACTCTCTATCTATTCTGTTTTAGTAAAATCTACTAGCATTCTATAACGAAAGCCGTTCGCTGATTGGCTACGCTACTCTCTATCTATTCTGTTGTAGATCAGTAGTGAGAAGTCTAGCAGTGTGCGGTTGTTAACAAAACTACGGCAGCTTCTTTGCTTTACTGAAGAGGATTTAGATAAAGTTTTGAATGACCGGTAGATTTATTCTAAAACAATTAGATTATTGCGCCCTTGTCAACCGTGATCACGCGATAGAAATCTCGAACACGTAATCTAATTGTTTAATAGAAACACGATTTTTACTAAATCAGTGCACGTCCGCGGTAGCCCAGTCTTGACAACAGCACTACCCATTGGATCCGATCCGCAGATTATCTGCTCTGTAGACTGAATTTGAGCCGGCTGAGAATCGCGGCTCTGAACAGAATCCCGCTGGAAATTTTGCTCATCAAGAGACAACTAGCCGGTAATCATTCACTTCTTTGTGTACAAATAGGACCAAAAAGCTTACATTTTGGTTTAACAAATCAATTCAGGCTGGAAACTACATTCAGATACCATTAGCGTGAACTGACTGAAGTGAGCAACTTAAAACTCCTGCTGCTCTGATCTGGAACTTTTTGTTTGAAAACAGTTTTGTTTGTTTTGGATAAATAATCATCCTGGACGTGGTTATCGAAGCATCGTGATTTGGCAGTGTCTCGCAGATCAATTATTTGCCGAGGTCGAAGGCTGAGGCAAATAATTGACAAATCACGATATAATTTAGACATGTACAAGCACCTGACTTTGTATCAACATTTTCATGTAAGGAGTTGAGTTATCACAAAACTCTTTGTGCAACTGTATGCTGACAGCTAGTTGACCATCAGATTAAACTGAATCATGATACAAACATGGATGAACTCTTCTATTCACTCTGAAAATATTATGCAAATCACTACCTGCTGATCAACACATACATGTAACCCCAAAACAATCTGTCATAAGAAGCATACAAAATGTTACAATGACAGTTATTAAACAAAAATAAAAATAAGCCCACAAGTACGCACTGCGGACCTATTTTTATGACTGCTGTGGTGTAATTTCATCATGTTCACTAATACATGTAAGCAACTAACGCGATGGTAAAAAATGTCGCTTCATTGTAGAGCGCGTGATTTTTGAAGGCTACAGGCGGCGTGACAAGTGAATCAAGAAAACAGTTGTGCGAAGCCTTAACAAACCTTCAGACGCGATTGTAATTGAATAAATTGACGTTTCAACAAGGGTCTGGGCTAATTTTTGACGAATCCCCGTTAAGCGGCCAAGCTCTATTAAGGGTCTCCAGCACTTTTCCAACAGCTATAATTTAACGGATGAATCCTAACTATTTTTATCAAGAGGTACTATAATATTGGTATCACGTAAATTGCCAGCCATTGGTGAACCAATAACGGCAGTCTTTATGGCATAATAGGTAACCATAGCAACAGTATAGCCTGTTAGAAACACCCTCAATCTTAGCTTTAAGTGCTTATAGAATACTGATGACGTGAATAAAATCAAAATTTCATTTGTTTAACTTAGTTGACGGGTGGAATACAGATAATTCTAGATCATTGGAAGAGCAATTCGAGACTTTTCATTGACTTAGCCATCATGGGTTATGAGCCATTATACCATGCTTTACAAATATAGTAAGCGTGCGCGTGATTTTTTAGAGCGTCTTTTTTTTAGTTTAGCTCTCTAAATTTTGGGGACGTTTTCAATAAAACAATTATTCCACTCACTAAGCGTTAAGTAGATAGGCGCTACGCGCCTCGTAGGCTATCTACTTAACAATTCTACCACGAGCGCACGTTGGATATGAGATGGTAGGACAGGTAACGTGGCGCCTAGCGCCGAGTTGGCTATAATGATCTCATATCCAACACGCGTGAGTGGAATAACTGTTTTATTTAAAAGCGCCCCCAAAATATAGAAAACAAAACTAAAATGAAAATAAAAACGCGCTAAAAGATAACGCGTACGCTTACCATATTCATAGGGCATGGTCTAATGGCTCATAACCCGTGATAGCCAAGGCAATGAAAACTTTCAAATTGCATTATCCAATGGTTCAGTTTTTAATATTATTTCGTATCCAACGCGCGCTCGTGGAATAATTGTTAAATATAAAGAAATATAGGTTTCTCCAGTATCTTATTTTACGCACGCTAAGTCATTGAAATTCACGCTCGTTGACGTGCGTGAAAAACTAACCTAAGAATTAGAAAATAATAGAAAAAGAAAATAGGAGTAAGAATAAAGAAAAGTGTAAACGTGAGAGCAGAAAGGATCAAACATCATTCAGCAAGTGCCTGTATGGAATAATAGGCTGGTGCCGAGTTACATTCACACAAAACGAAGGCGACTTGGTCTCTAGATAAAGCTTTGGACTTGCTTGTAACATTTTGAATATAACGTGATTTCTTATCATTGGTGGCGCTTCTTGCTTAATCCTCGCTATAAATTCACGTGATATTTCCGTCATGTTTATTTCAGACCTATCATACTCTCGATGTTTGGGATTGCCAGCTGCGACAGGGGCAAAGAGGAGTGCTTGGCCGCCAAATTTGACTTCAACAGCTATCATAGTGTCTCTGTTACTTGCAAAAATACAGCCACGTTCATATTTCGTTGGATAGGGAAGGACATGTTCAACAGCTTTATGGTGGAAAGCGTTAAAGATGGCGTCGAAAAACACGGTGGGGAGAACGAGAGATGGTTCACTTATACCACATAAATCTCTCCTTCTGTTTAATACAATGCTTGCTCCATGATGAACCTTATAATCCAACACACCCACTGCTGGCTCGTAATCTAGCAGCCTGCAACAAGTAAGAGAACGTTGTGAGTATTGTACCCAGGTCATCAATAGTGGAAATAAAAAGAGAAGCAACCAAACAAAGAGTGTTGGAGTGATCAGCTAATTTCCCCAAAGGTCGCTTCAACACTTGGAAACGATATTAGAATCGTTTTTAGCGCATTATGGATGCAATCCAGTTTGGGAGGAGGAGACAAGTCATTTTGTATATTTTGACTTTCAACTTGAGACGTAGTAGATGTTTTCTGTAACTCTCAGCCGTCTTTTTGTTTAGCTGGGATTTCGTTTGCTTTATGTTCGTTTGGCTGTTCATTCTTTGCCTTTCATTTGGTTTTAAGAAGTTCAATAGAGTGTTTAAGAAAGCCACGACGGCAACGGCAATGAAAAACGTCACGCAAAAAAAAAATTAATGAACATGAAGACAATGGCTGTGCGCGTACGTTATAATTCTTGGTACATTTCCTTACCGTCCTCTGCAAAACGGCATCGTGAAAAGACAAATTCTGCGTTGTTTGGAGAACGTGAACCACGACGGCTAATTTTATTGATTTCTGTTTCAAATTTACCGCTGTGTTCCAGATTTAGTTTGGTGATAGTTTTGACAGTGATAAACAAAGTAAATGACTTTAGAGTACCGCGAGCCAGTTCAGTTCCTTGGTAATTTTAAAAATTTATTGACGCTGTCCTCAGCGTCGCCGTCGTGGTTACTTAAACTCCCTATTATTTGTACAGGGAACATCTGTACGAACAGATATGCATTAAAACATGGCGAGGGCCTTAGCTCCTCTGCTTCTTTGATATTAAAATATCAAAAGATACATCCCCAAAGCATCGGAGGCTTTCCTTCGTTTTGAAACAAAACGAAAGAAATTCACTCTCTTATCTTGATCTTCTCTTGGACAAGAGCGATTCTAAGGACTTGATTCCTAACTAAAGTTACATGTAATAAGTCAAATTATTCTAGCAGTTTGATTGGTTCTCACCTATGATCTATCGGAGGACAGACGCATAGATGACTTCAGTATTACAAACATTTTCCCTCTGTTGTTTAAAATGGCAAAAATTTTGGAAAAAATTAGATGATATTTTACAGGCTGACTGGGCAAAGAAACTGACTGTGAAAAAGTTTTGTGAGGCTGTAAACAGGTAGGAAAAACAGGGAGAAGAAAGAAAAAGATGTTTCTTTTATGAACTCACAAAAAATACTCAGTCGAACACAAATCGGTCTTGCAATTATTTCAAGCAGGAGTATAGCAAAGATATCAGTGACGTCACCTGTTGTTATTAATATGCCAACCAGAGAACTATTGGTTGGTGAGAAAGAGAATTCTTTTGTTTAACGTTTTGAACATTTAAATAACAAAAACAATGTTTGTAAACAAATATCTTCCCTATATCAAATGTAATATGCTCCCGTTTCAAGGTAAGAAACCATCTTTGCTTCGAATTTAACGATCCCAGCAAGGAAATGTTTTTGAGGTTGATATATTTAAAAGATTTAAATTTTCACAATCTCAAAATAATTGTTTACAGGAATTAGTTAGGCGACCAAAAGA